CAAAAAGAATACCAAAAAACCAAATTCACCTCGTCATCATAGTCACACATTTATGTAAACCAAAGGCAAGGAGAAAATGTTAAAGACCATAGATGAACAAAACAATCACCTACAGAGCGACCACAGCCAAAGTAATGTTTTAAACAAGAAATACTGATCATGTCACTACCCTTTTAAAATAAACTCTGTAATGGTTTCCCATTGCTCTGGAAAAGAAATTCTAACCACCTTAACACTTTAACAGACCTGGAATAGTCTGGCTCCTTTCTTGCTTCTCTGGCTTCATTTCCTTCCATAAAATCCTTTCTGCCTTTCCACCTCACAGGCTTCACCTCGAGGAGCAGCAGTATAGGGAGTGGTGTTAGACAAAGACAACTTAAAGTCCAAGTAGAGTGAGAGAGACATAGAGGGGCTTGCATCTCTTTAGATGCAGTGCCTATTTTCCTGGCTTGTCTCTCATTTATTGGGTATCAGATTAAAGGAAGGTGGGCAAATAGGTGGTGGAATGTGCCTGTTGGGATGTGGATTAGGAATGCATAATACTCTGTATGTGGTGGGGATGTGTATTGGGGATACATAATTGTCTGGCACAAGCTAGGGGGACTGAATAGGGGCTATTGTCAGGGGAGCTCCATTGTTGTTGCTGATCAAAACATCCTATCTCTAGTCCCTGTTTACAATTAACTTCCTGTCAAGGTGGTCTAGCTGGTTATGCTAATCTGGCTCTAATGTTTACCTGCTGTTTTCAGCAGCTATACTCATACCAAGACTTTTGTCCTGGTGAGAGGCACCCTGCTTGACCAGCAGGAACTCTGGGCACCAAGACAATATCCCAGAACATGGGGGCTGGGGAATGCACAGCAGTCATCTTCTTATTCCTCTTAAATTGCATGTCCCTGGGCATCTGCACATACTTTGTTCTTGGCCTAGTATTATTTTTTCTTGTCCAGTGACTCCTTTAGTTTGTCTCTTTATTTCCTTAGGGAAGAAAACCTTAACTAACTCCCAGTGTAGGTATATCACATAATTATAGGTTCTCATAGACCTTGTGCAGTTGGTATACTAAGGTACTTTGCTCTTTTTTAAAAAAATATAGAACTCTTACTTTGTTTCACTCACATTCCATTCATAGATCCAAAGTGCCTAGCACAAAGTGGGAACTGAATTCATGGCTGTATCATAAAAGAAGGAATAAATTTCTCACAAATAGCCTAATAAACGAGTACTTACTGATTATAGATCATTTGCAAGAGTAGTTTCAACAAATATTAATTAATTTAAAAACTATGTAATAATATCTTACCTTCTACTAGGCACCTTTTAAATTTTTGAAGAGAAGACAAACACTTTATAATATTCTGAAGTATGCAACCATGTAAACCAGCAGAATATTCATAAAGGACATAATAGAGGCCTGCATATGACCTGCAGAATGTATGAGCTGGGCTGTGTGTACTGAAGCATCAACATTAGGAGAATGTGCACTCTGGGGTGCAGGAGCCTTTGTTATTTTGTTAATTGGTATGTCTCCAGAGTATACAAAAACACCTGGCATTTAATAGGCAATCATTGATTTATTAAAAAATGGGATAGAAATTAGCTAATTAATAGAGAGAGGGATAAGTGATAGGGAAATGATTTTAGATATAGGAAACAGTATGATACCCAGATCAATAAATTGCCCACACTGACAAAATACAAAAACAGCATTCTTTAACTTGTAGGAGGCTGTCACTGAGAGGAATTCAGGAAGAAAAGGGTTTGGGAAACAGGATATGAGCTTTTACATTTATTAAATCCACAATATATTCAGGTAAAGGTTGTAATTTCCTCACAGTGTTGTCCAAACCATAACTGATCTTTCCAGCAGTATTTTACAGATCATGAAAGTGTCTAAACTCTCACAAAGTTTAAATTAATGGAATTTGGGTTAATTGGGTTTTATGACCAAATTGCGTTATCTTAATTGTGATTTCTTTCTCCCAGCACATAGATTTGATGTTTTTAATCATATATAGTTGTAAAGTTGTGAATTAAAATTGTGAACTTAAAAGCAGAATCAGATAAAATTGCAACCTTTCAGAGTACACTATATTGTATTTATAAATGTTTAGGGGTTTTTTGGAAGCGGGGAGGAGAATAATGCTTTGCCCATTGGACTGAAGGGGGAAAAAATGAAACAAATACTTTTACTGTCAAAATGTTTGTTGTTTCTGTCATTTCTAACAGTAACCAGTAGGTGGTATCAAACAATTTTACATTTCTGTTTTATTGCAGTTTTTGTATCTGTTTAGTTTCTGAAATCGTTCCTTCCTGACTTTCTCACATTCCCAACCACAAATACTTACACATAAACATTTGACAGAGATAAAGAGGGTTTTATTTCATCTTTCCATTTTAAATTTCTTGACTTTGCTTTCAGGGTGATATTTTTCCTCACATTATTCAGGAATCCATAATAGAGACACTGCTTTATATACAATAATTCATTTGGCAACTAAACACTACTGAAAAGCATTATTGTATTTTTCTTTTTTCTCTTCCCTTCATAAATTATTTTTTAATAAAACTTCATTAACTTTGCTTTACAGTACTATGTAAGTTTTGGTTGTGCAGCTTCACAGGTGATGTGTGTGTATACCTCATCACACACACCATCAATTGACCAATGGATTGATTCTTCCCCTCTTTTTCCCCTTCACATCTGGTAGCCACTATATTTTTCTCAAAGCCTAAGAGTTATTTTTGGAAAGTAGTGCTCTAAATCCCCACTTTTCTGATAATCTTGTTTTAAAGTTTTCTCACTATCACTGTAGCCCCTTGATTGTCAGTGAAGATAAGTATATTTTCATATTGATTTGTCATTTGTTTTGCTATCTTGCATTTTGTGTGTGTGTGTGTGTGAGAGATATAGTTGTGGTTTGTATGTTTGTATGGGTGTGTCTCTTATATTCTATTTAATTATTCTCCTTTGTCATATTCTCAGTAGAAAATACCTTTACAGGGACCTCCTTGGTGGCGGAGGTGATAAGACACAGCACTCTGAAGCTATCTGCAGCCCCTGCAGCACAAGTTTGATCCCTAGCCAGGGAGCTGACCCACATGGCGCAGCTGACCCACATGGCACAGCAGACCTCTCCTGTCTCACCCGCTGCTCTCCTCAGCAGTGTATTTCAGTCAGTCCACCTGTTCTGTTCCCCACTCTGTCTCTGGTGACTCTTCTCACCCCCCCACACTTCTGGCTTGTACCCCAGTTCTTGTATGCATAAATAAATAAATCTTAAAAAAATACCTTTACAATTTAAAACCTCTCCTAATTTGACACATAGAAACCCCATGTGTTTCTGTCTATGTGTTCTAATATAGACTCAGCAGCTGTGAACTTAATTTATACATTTACCTTTGTTCCTACTACTACTATCATATTCCTGGGTGACTAACTCATGATTAATAGAATTTCACTATTTTAAATTACTAACTATATATTTTTTAAAGTTGCTTTATTCTAAAGCATTTTTTTAAAGATTTATTTATTTATTTATACAAGCACTGGGTACAGTCAGAAGTGCGGGAGGGTGAGAGAATTCACCAGAGCCAGAGTGGGGAACAGAGCAGGCAGAAGGACCGAAGTACACTGCTGAGGGGAGCAGCAGGTGGCAGGAGAGGTCTGTATGCCATGTGGGACCCTCCTCCAGTAGCTGGGGAGCAGCTGGGATCGAACCAGCGCTGCAGAGGCTGCAGGCAGCTTCGCAACCCAGCGCTCAACCGCTGCGCCACTGGGGAGGCCCAAAGTTGCTTTATTCTAAAGGAATGAAAAAAGTAAATACAAAATCCTCAAAATTTGAATACTTCCCTAAGATTTTAAAATCTCTTCCAATTTAATATATCCCCTATGTATATAATTAAGCTTACATCAAATCTCCTATAAAACAGGTCATTGTAGACATTTTGTCTACTCATATTAGAACTCATCTGTTTGTCTATTGCTTTTTACTTAACTATTATGACTTCCTTAACTACTGACAGAGAAGATTTACAATGAAAAGAACCAGCTTATTTTTTAAACAAACAGAAGTATATATTATTCTAAAAATTGTGACTGACATTTTATCAGCTTTTGATTTTAGTTGCTTGTTTTATTTTGTATTGATTCTAAGCTTCATTATGAAAGAAATTATGATGTCATAATGCTAAGCAATTCAGAATTGATTTTATACTTAGGTAGCTGTACTTTGAATGAAGAAATTATTAATCAAGTTTTCATCATGATCACTGGTGTGGATGATTGGTCCAGTCTTTTAGCATAATTCAAATAAATGATGAACAAACTAATGTGAGACTTTTGTAGAATTTATAAAGATAATGTTGATAATCAATGGGTCAATTTGAAGTGCCTACTTCTTCTTATAGGAAATTTTACTTAAATCTTACCAAACTTTTAACCTATACCCTAATTGATAGCAAAGATAGATTTCTATAAACAAAAATGAAAACTGAAAGCATTTCAGAGTCATTGCTTCAAGAAATATAATTACCATTTTTGATAATTAATTTTGCACTGTGTTCTTCCAGTATTTTTCTCTTTATTGTTTTTGTTTTCTTTAATTTTTTTATATAATTTTTTTTATTTTTATATTCCCCATACAATGCGACCCCCTTATTTTGACCCCAATCCCTCCCCTCCCCGCCCCCCCCAATAAAGTGTCTCTGGTTCATAGTTGTTTGTTGATTTTGATTTTTACTTTCTTACAGTTATTCTTTTTCCTGGTCCCTTATTTAAGTTTTCTAGATTCCTGCTATGAGTGAGACCATCCGGTATTTTTCTTTTTCTTTCTGGCTTATTTCGCTGAGCATGATCCCTTCCAGCGCCATCCATGTTTTGTTTTCTTTTAATAGGGTAAAAATGACACTAAAAGTGGCTTTTAAAAAAGGGAAAAAAAATACTTCAATTGCTGTGCTGTTAACGTTAATGTTTTTGGTCCCTATCTTCTCCCCTGCAGGGGTAACAACGGTTCTAACAATGACAACTCTAAGCATCAGTGCTCGGAACTCACTCCCCAAAGTGGCTTATGCAACTGCCATGGACTGGTTCATTGCTGTTTGTTATGCATTTGTATTCTCTGCCCTCATTGAATTTGCAACAGTTAATTACTTCACCAAAAGAGGATGGGCTTGGGATGGAAAGAGTGTAGTAAATGACAAGGTAAGTGAAGACTTACTTCTCACCATGATTAAGAAACTCCTCTAACATATTTAGTTGATAGCAGATAACAATCCTAAAAATTGATTGGAACATTCAAATCTAAATGACATGTATTACATATACATATAATATATATGAATATCATGGATTTCTTTTAAAGTGTGCTTCTGCTTGAAATTCTCCGGGAGTGCTTTTATTAGTATTACTTCTGTTAAAAACACTTCCTAGGGTCTGGTGTCAGGCACCGTGCTAAGCTTTTACATTGCTCTCAGGTACTCTTTGCAATATTCTAAGTAGGGTGTCTTTTAATTCTCATTTTCTTTTTCTGATGAAGTAGCTGAGGTATAGTCAATTTATTTATTTTCCTAAGCTCACACAACTAGTTAATAAATTATCCATTAACCCTAATCTGTCTGACCATTAAATTCAAGCTCTTAAATACCATACTGCTATATAATAAACAGTTTTGGAAAAGAAAGTGGCATTGAGTTTTACATGTTATGAATTTCAAACCTATCAGTGAGTTGAATTGCTCTGTGGTTTTGCTATCAAAGCCCAAGTAGCACTGTGACTTTCCCATGTTGTATGGAGTAGGTAGGTGCTAGACAACTAAGAAGTTTTAAGTTGTTCAAGTTGTCTTGAAGATAAAAATTATTTGTTTTTCAGATTAATATATTTGGGCATTATTGGTGTTGATTTTTTTAGGTTTCAAGCTGGTGAGAGGTTTGTGCATTGATACAGTCGGTATTCTTTTCTTATTCTATACATTATTAATTATCTGCATTAAGAGGAGACTGGATATATCACAATGAGATATAAAGCAGCACTTCTTTTTTTGTGTAGAAGAACTGGGATACAGGCCAGAGGTGCTGGGATGGGGGGTGAGAGGATTCACTAGAGACAGAGTGGGGTGCAAAACAGGTAGGTTTACTGCAATTTACTGCTAAGAGGAACACCAGGCGAGACAGGTAAGATCTGCTGTGCCATGTGGGTTAGCTCCCTGGCCGGGGATCGAACTCAGACTGCAGTGGTGATAGTGCTGAGACAACCCATAAAGCATTCTTTTTTTTTTTTAAAGATTTATTTATTTATACAAGAACTGGGGTATAGGCCAGAAGTATGGGAGGGTGAGAGGATTCACCAGAGACAGAGCAGGGAACAGAACAGGCAGACTGATGAAATACACTGCTAAAGGGAGCAGTGGGCGACACAGGAGAGGTCTACTTCGCCATGTGGGATTCTCGTCGCCTGGCCGGGATCGAACCCGCGCTGCAGAGGCTGCGGACAGCTTCACAGTGCAGCACTCAACCACCTGCACCATCAGGGAGGCCCCACCATAAAGCATTCTTAATAGAAAAACAGTTGAACTTAGAGGAGGTACCTAAGTAATCCTTCCATTAAATTTGGAATTACATACTGGCTGATTTTGTTTCCTTTTCAATTATTTGGATATTTTTTTCTCATTCTATAACCATATTACACTTGAAACACCCAAACAGTTAATTCTGTAGTTTAAAAGCTTTTCTCTTTTTTTCCCTAATTTTGTAAAGTATAAGAAGTTTTAATGAATGATAGTGTATTTAATTTTGCATGTTATTTTTTTGCATACTAAGAGTCAAGAACAAATAAGGAATTTGATTAATTTTCTATGTTTAACTTCTGGGTTATTTCAACTTTTAAATTTCAGTTTATTGTTGAATTATGCTTTCTTTCCCTATGTATACATTCCTTAATCATTACTACCTATACAATTACTCTTTTTAACAATATTAGTTGCCCATCCAGTTGCACGCTAACACTTTTTGAAGGTAAACTGCTAGCTAATCCCTTGTAATTATGTCACAAAAGTTAAATAATGGTTTGCAGTTGCAGTATAAATGCCCATATGGACATTTATTGAAAGATTTTTTTTTTAATTTTATGAGGGTGCCAGTCAAAGTTATATTGTGATTTGGTATATTAAATAATATGCCTTCACAGTCTTTAATCATGGAAAATAAAAGTACCTCTAAATCATTCTAAAAACTATAACCTAGTACTAAAAATGCTGAACTTAAGTCTATCCACATGTCAAATGACAATAGTAAAGGTAAATTTACTTCAATATCATTGATGTTCTAAGAAAAGTAACACTGTATTATTTCAGTTCTAGTAGTTATATTAAAATAAAGATTATAATAGACACATTGCTTGTTTTTATTCACTTTTCATACCACAATGTCTGGCATTAGTAGGCAGTCAGAAATACCTACTGAATGAACGAATTATTAGTTTCTGATATTAAATCTGGTATGTAATGATGCTGATGAGAGGACTTCTGTGCCTTCTTGGAAAGACTTTTTAAAACTTTGCAGTGGACCTCTCCTGGCGGTGCAGTGGTTGAGCGCTGAGCTCGATCCCGGCTGCCAGGCCACTGGCGAGGCAGACCTCTCCTGTGTGTTTCGTCAGTTGGCCTGTTCTGTTCCCCGCTCTGGCTCTGGTGAATTCTCTCACCCTCCCGGGCTTCTGACTGTACCCAGTGCTTGTATAAATAAAAAATAAAAAATGAAAAACAAAACAAACTTTGCAGTGTTAAATTTGTAAATGGGCACTCAATTCCATTCATGATTCAAGTGAGTTTTAGGAGCTATTTCTTAAACTTACCTTAGAAAACAACATGGAACTTAGATGTGAAAGAAAACCAAGTAGATTATTTCAGTGCAGTCTATTTCTGATTTAGTTTTCTTTAGATTCAATTTTTAAGTCAAAAACAAAAATTTTATTGAAGTAGAGTTTTTATCCTGGGGACATATTGGTGTTCTCTCAGTTTAACCAGACTAGCAGAAGTCCTCTATTTGTAAAATTAGTTAACATGAGTACATACAATGAAAGAATCTGTCACTTTCAAAAAACATATGAAAAGTTCTGAAAAATTTATAGGCTGGCAAGGAATTTAGCTCATAAGAATAATTACTCAGGGCCTCCCTGGTGGCGCAGCGGTTGAGCGCTGTGTTGCGAAGCTGCCCGCAGCCTCTGCAGTGCTGGTTCGATTCCCGGTTGCTCCCCGGACACCGGAGGAGGATCCCGCATGGCGTGCAGACCTCTCCTGCCACCCGCTGCTCCCCTCAGCAGTGTACTTCTGTCCTTCTGCCTGCTCTGCTCCCCGCTCTGGCTCTGGTGAATTCTCTCACCCTCCCGCGCTTCTGACTGTACCCAGTGCTTGTATAAATAAATAAATAAATAAATAAATCTTAAAAAAAAAAGAATAATCACTCAATATTATTTATCTAAAAATATTTAATTAGAGTTTACCTGTAGTTTGTATTCTGGTGATATTTAAAGTTAGTTTTGCATTGAGCCCTCAATTCGAAGACAAAGCCTATCTTGTTCGATAACCTTGGATGACTTCTACTACTTCTGTTTAACCTCCAGTGTGAAATTAGCAACAAAATCTTATTATTCTGAATTAAGTGATGCAACTCCAGATTTTTTATGCACTTTGATCCACAAAATTACCAATTTATGCAATCTCCCCAGTTCTTCGGGAACCACCCCACAACCCAGTGTTCCTCTATTTGTCTAAGACTGACTCTTCCACCTCAACACTGGCTCCCTTTCCTTTCTGTTCCTTTCAAAACTTTGATCCATCAGTTATTAGTTTCTGTGTTTATTTCTTCAAAAGCATTAAGTTCTTTTCAACTGCTTCCTTCCTTTCAATTTATGAAAGTGCTTATGTAAATTATGCTTAATTTACCATAAAATCAAAGACAAACTCTCTCCAGATCCTGTCACCATAAGACTTCATCCTCAAAGTCTGCACCCTTTTTCACCATACAAGTTTGTTGAAAGCATTGCTTATAACACTGTGTTCTCACATTCAATTTAATCTCAACTCTTGGTAATCTTATTTCCTCTCCATTTATTGTCCTGTAACTGAAGGACACCAATAACTTCCACATTTTCTTATCAGATAATAATTTTCTATTTTTCTCAAGGGAGCACCATTGAATCCATTAAATACTGTTATGTCGAAGAACTCTATTTCAGCAAGTTTTTCTCTTCTTTTCCTCTTTAGATTTGGTCTCAAAATATCAGCTTCCTTCTTCTTAAATCTTGGCAGCTGCCACTATTCATTCTATTCTTTGTAATTCTCTGTTCATTTTCACATTGAATCTAACCTCCCTGGCATCTGCTCTTGTTTATCACCAAAACAGTCTCTCAGCTTTCTTTACTGTTGTTTTTAATTCTGCTATTCACAGTGTGATTTGTAGTTTAAGGATTTTACTGAAAATTATTTGTAGGAATGTTTGAAACACTAAAAAGACTGTCCCCAACCAGAAGTCCCTAATTATCCCCAGTATAGTTAGCAATCATCAGGAAATTTCTGAACCATTGCTCCCACTCCTAATAATTAGGCTCCATTATAAATGTGGATAATATCTTATTTAATACTTGAATCTTTATCAGTTTGTAATCGCATATTTATATCTCAGCTTCTTCACTGATAATGATAACAATGACTGTTAATCTTAATAAATCATTTATTCTTAGCCTTTTTGCTCAGTATCTTATTATATTACATGGTCAATAATATAAATTTAATGAAGTAGAACCAAATCAAACATATCACTTATGCTTTATTACCTTCCAGAATATGCTATCTACAACTGCATCCCATATCTTTCTTTGAACTTCCAATTTCATACATGCACCCTGTTCTCTGGGCATTTCTATATGAATATAATATCTCAATATGCATATTTTTGAAAAAGATAATAAGCATCAAGCAAAAAAAACCTCTCAAGTTTCATAATTTTATATATTTATAATTTGCATATTTTTATGATTTTATATCTTCTCCCTGCCCACTCCTATTTCTGTTCATCTGTACCTCAGTTAATGGAAAAACTTAATCTTAACATCAACAAATGTTAAGTATCCCTTAACATTTAGTCAGTCATCAAATCATGTCCATTCTCTTACCTATATACATATATTATGCCCTGAACATGTCTCTTTAC